CCCCGCCAAACTTCTGATCCCCCATCCCCAATCCGGCTCCTCCCACTCTCTTCTTCTTCCTCTCCCTTGTCCTCCCCACAGAGAGAGGAGAGTGGTCGTGACTCTCCCACAGAGAGGGGAGCTTTGACCCTCCCCCAGACTGAGGGGTGGGTGGTGGGGGTGGGGTGGGGGTTGGTCGACCGTCCCACAGAGGGAGAAAGGGGAAGGAGAGGTGACCCTCCTACAGAGAGTGACCCTTCCCTAATGAGAGAGGGAGGGGTGATCCTCAATAAGAGCGCAGTGAATGTGTGACAGCCCCCTATACAGAGGGTGGGCTCGGGGAATGTGCGGAAGGGAAGGGTATGACCCTTCCCCTGAGGAAAAAGGGGAGTATGAGTGAGAAAGGGGAATGTGAGTGTCACCTCTTCAGGTGAGATGGGAGAAATGTGCGGTGACCCCCTTCCACCAGCGGAAAACAGGTTTGTTGAACACATGAATGCTGCGTTAGGACAATTGGACCAGGTGCTTCCTGTGGAATCCCAGACCCCAGCAAGAGCCCGACACAGCCAGCAGCAGGAGGGACGTTAAAGGGGTCCGTCGCTAACATAATCTAAACGCTCTCTCCTATGTGACAGCTCAGGAAGGAGTGCACACTGGCAGAACTGATGGAAAGTGAGGCTGAGATGGTGAAACACATCCGAGCCCTGGACAGCGACATGCAGACTCTGGTCTACGAAAACTACAACAAGTTTATCTCTGCCACAGGTAGGGCACAAACGTAGAGTTTGTAGAAACTAGGAGTCAGCCATTCAATATGATCACAGCTGATGCATTTTGGTAATACAAACAAGCACAGGACTTAAACAATTAGTAGTAGGGTCCTGGGCAGTGTTGTAGAACAGGGTGACCTAGGGATTCAGGAACATAATTCTTCGAAATCTGCGTCACAGGTAGACAGAGTTAAGAAAGCGAAAGAACTGCGGATGTTGTAAATCAGGAAGAAAAACAGAAGTTGCTGGAAAAGTTCAGCAGATCTGGCAGAACTAACGAAGGGTCACCGGACCCGAAACATTAACTCTGATTTTTTTCTTCTCTCCACAGATGCTGCCAGACCTGCTGAGCTTTTCCAGCAACTTCTTTGTTTTTGTTTGTGGTTAAGAAAGCGTTTAGTACGCTTGCCTTCATTGCTCAGTCCTTTGAGTATAGGAGTTGGGAGTCATGTGGAGGTTGTACAGGACGTTGGTGAGGTCTCTTCTGGAATACTGTGTCCAGTTCTGGTCGCCCTGTTATAGGAAGTATATTATTAAGCTGGAGAGGGTTCAGGAAAGATTGATCAGGATGTTGCCAGGAATGGAGGGTTTGAGATATTAAAATAGACTGGGACTTTTTTTCACTGGAGTGTAGGAGGTTGAGGGATGACCTCACAGAGGTTTATAAAATCATGAGGGGCATAGGTAATGTGAATGACAAGGGTGAGTGTGGGGGAGTTCAAAACTATGGGACATATTTTTAAGGTGAGAGGAGAAAGGTTTGAAAAAGACATGAAGGGCAACTTTTTTCCCCACAGAGAGTGGTCTATGTTTGGAATGAACTGTCAGAGAAAGTGGTGGATGCGGGTGCAGTTACAAAGTTTAAAAGACATTCAGATAAGTATATGAATGGGAAAGGTTGGGGGGGATATGGGCCAAGGACAGGCAGGTGGGACTAGTTTAGTTTGGGATAACGGTCGGCACAGACTGGTTGGACCGAAGGGTCTGTTTCCGTGCTATTTGACTCTATAACTCTGTCTCATATTCCTGTTCTCTCCCCTTTCCCCTTGATTTCTTTAAATATTTATCTATCTCTTTCTTGAGCATATTCAATGAATTGACCGCTACAGTCTTCTGTGGTTGAAGATTCCACAGATTCCCTACCCTTGTAGTGAAGACACGTTTCCTGATCTCAGTTCTAAATGGTTTGCCTTACATCCTGAGGCTGTGTCTCCTAGACTCGCCGAACCAGGGGAAACAACCTCTCTGCATCTAGTCTTTCAGCCCTGTTAGAATTTTATACATTTCAATCAGATCTACCTCCCATTCTCCTAAACGCCAATGAATACAAGCCCTTTCAAAACAAACTCTCCTTATGGGTCAGTATCACACTCCACACAGACAGTCGCCCGAGGCTGGGATCAAACCCGGGTCCCTGGTGCTGTGAGGCAGCAGTGCTAACCACTGAGCCACCGTGCTGCCCTTTATATATTGGATGAGGCAAGTGAATCTACTATCACCGGATTTACAGATGACACAAGAATAGGGGAGGTGATGGCCTAGTGGTATTATCACTGGACTGTTAATCCAGAGACCCAGAAAATGTTCTGGGGACCTGGGTTCGAATTTGAATTCAAAAAAAAAATCTGGGATTAAGAATCTAATGATGACCATGAATTGATTGTCAGAAAACCCCATCTGGCTCACTAATGTCCTTTAGGGAAGGAAACTGTCATCCTTACCTGGTCTGGGCCTACATGTGACTCCAGACCCACAGCAATGTGGTTGACTCTCAACTACCCTCTGGGCAATTAGGGATGGACAATAAATGCTGCCCTAGCCAGCGATGCCCTCATCCTGTGAATGAATAAAGGAAAAAAAAGAAGTGGGAAGGCAAGTGGTGAGTCTACAGAGAGGGATGTAGAACAGTAAGTGGCAATATGGGCAAACATTTGGCATGTGGA